TGTGAAAACCGAAAACCGAACCGAACCGTGAAGTTGTGATTCGTTGCACCCCTAGTATTTATATTACTCAATAGATTGGACTGCTTACGCACACATAAAATGAGTAGGCCCAGTCTATACTCGCCCTAATCTTAGAATTATATTAGTTATGAGTATTTTGATCAACATATCAAAACAAATCGAACATATTTATACCTAATTTTGAGAGTTATACTTATAGTACTATCATCATTCTAACCCATATATAAGTTTTGTTCGAAATTTTGTTGATATAATTGCAGAAATTGACATTATGTCTCGACTGTTGCAAAATGTACTAGTGTGGAGATTTCAGATGTGGTGACTAAAATTAGTAAAAACTAAAAAGTAGAATAAAATAAGAATATAATAAGAATAGGAAAGAAATATTGTACATGTATTCTCGCACCTATATATAGACCTAATTAATAGAAAATGAATCAGAATGTTTTGATATACTGTATAAAATCGTATTATAGCCTTTAATTTTTATCAAATTTCTTTATTCTTCAGATATATGTGTTACTGGATAAAGCTAAAATTAGCTAACAGAACTGCATTTATTGACCAGTTAAGTGCAGTTAAGTGCAAACAGATTTATGGTATGTATGCCTCCTAATTTATTATTTGAATGTCGCATCGTATAATAGTTTTCATGTCATAACACAATGGTTTCACCGATTGAATCTGAAACAAAACTGAGATAGATTGATTTTCAACATGCAGTTAATGTAAGTATAAGTTGCAATACAACCTCAGTCACTATGCAATTTTCTGAAATAAGTAACTTTCCATTAAAGGCATACTAGGCCCATTGATTATGCAATGTGGACGAATGCTAGAGTAACTGGCACCTTGTGTAGTTACTAGTTAATAAGTACATAACCTTTTACTCAGTTTATAGCCAAACGCGTATTAGTTTTTGTCCAATATCACTGCTGGTTACATTACAAGCAAGACTTGAAATCGGTTGTTGATATTAATTTACGTGCCGTAAATGTCATCCAGGAGTCAACCGATGACGTAAACATTTGTGCGGCACGTATGTTTTGGACGCCAGATGAAATGAAGATGTCAGCGGTGTAACCACTGCCACGGACTAAACATGGAAATGGAGTAAAATACACGTACTAATCACGGACGCACATGGATAGCCCTGACAAAAAGTTCTTTACCGCGAGCGTCCATGTTTACGAAATGACTGATGATAGCATTGCGTACGGCCGAGCATGCGTGCGAAGATGTCCGGTGCACTATAAATCTGTATCACACCCGCTTAGCCGGCAGCGGTTTGAAACTGATTTCTTGGACTGCGGATTTCAATTAGACATTTCTTAGTAACCAGCAGTGATATTGGACAAACTAATACGTGTTTGGATGTAAGGTTATGTACTTATTAACTAAACAAGGTGCCAGTTACTCTATCATTCGTCAACATTGCATAATCAATGGGCCTAGTATGCCTTTACGTCCATGTTCTATTTTAAATTTGTCAGTTTTTTGACTTTGTCAAGTGCTTTCTAAATCTATCACGCTTGATTCAGTGCACTCTACTGGATTTGCAGGTGTTCCAATAGGAGGTATTGGCTGTGGAACAATAGGACGAGGATGGAAAGGGGAGTTTTGTCGTTATCAACTTATCCCTGGCATGTATCGGCACCATACAATTCTAGCAAACCAAGTAAGCCAGGGCAAATTGTAAAAAGCAGCATAAATAGTTATTGTATCGTAATTATATTAGCCTAAACTGACGTAAATATTTTAAAAACACGTCCCTTTGAAATTTGTGACATATTGAAAATAACTGATGTTGGGTTTGTACTACTGTTCCAAGATACTAAACGGGCCCTCCCCAACCATGAGCACTAAATATTACAGTGGAGAAACCATGATTAATGATTAAATAGGAACTTCTAATGGGAACTATTCAGTTAGGAGATCATGGCTGTTGTGAAAATAGCTTCTATATATATATGCATTTCTTGTGCTTCCAATACACAGAAATAGCATTTTACTGTATCTTCACCTAACCTTTTAATTGAGCATTTACTGGTGTTTCACGTCAACATTACCCTGTGTTGTAGTTTCACTTTCGTAATTGATCTAATTGGCAACTCATTAATGCCCAATAATCTTGCTAATGACATAGAACCGTTGAGGAAATGCCCTTGCCTAATATATGTCCTAATTTTTCTTTAATCGTTTATTCCTTGATTAGTGGTGCCCCCGGACGCCCCGTCCTTGTGCAAACCGAAGGTTTGAGTTCATATATGCAGCGGCACGCTCCCCCTACTGGCAATTTAATACAAAACAGGGAATTACATATGGGAATTCACATGGGAATTCGTCTAATCTGAATTCGTGGGCAACAGTGACTGACTTAATTGACACAGCGTTTGCTGGTAAGCATGTCATCGTAGCATCGTTGAAAATTTTTGATTTAAAAGCGCATGAAAAACTATATAAAACTTAATAACCCTAAATTTACCTCAATGACTACGCCCACGCATGCCACTCATGATCATGGTGCCTCAAACTCTCAATGATGCCACAATGTTGGCAATGGCACATCCATAACACAAAAACCATGCTCAATAGCTGAATGCCTAGACCAGAGACGACATGGCTGAAATGTGTTGGATCGAGATCATCTGTTTTTTCTACTTATTTTCCTGTTTCTGTATTTTTCTATGTTTATCCTTATTTTACATGATTTATTTTACCAACATTTAATAACAACAATAATTTTTTATTGGTTTATAGGTTACGGGTTTAGGGTTAGAGGTCAGCAATGCACCATAAAACAGGAGTTTGAGTACGTGATATTTGTATCAAGCCCAATTGGAATTTGGAGCTATGCAGCCCCTAGCTTGCAGTGTGTTATACAGCTGTATAGTTTCGCCTTCGTTGAATTCTTCGTCTGCGTTCGGGTGATTGACGCGAGCCATTCTCAGTGATTCTCAGGCTAATACGCGATGTTTCATGTTTAAAACATTGACGTCGATATGCGCACATGCGGAGTTTTAACCGGTTTGGCAGCAAGCAGCATGGCGTGTATGCTGCGATACAAGGCACACGCACGCACACCAAGCAACGTGTACGTACTTGCACGCACTTCACGACTGTACGTACACACACACACTCATGCACGCACGCACGTGTACCTGGACACACACGGACGTACGCACGCACACACACATGCACACACATGTACCTGCACATGCGCGCACGTGTACGTGCACACACGGACGCCCGCACGCATGCATGCACGCACGTGTAAGTTTACATGCACGCACGCACGCACGCACGCACGCACGCACGCACGCACTCACACATGCACACTCGTGCACGCATGCACGCACGGACGCACGCACGCACGCACGCACGTGTACGTGCACACGCACGCACACACTCATGCACGCACGTGCACGTGCACACGCACACACGCACGCATGCACGAACGTGTATGTGCCCACGCACGCACACGCACGCATGCACGCACGTGTACGTGCACAGGCACGCACGCATGCACGCACGTGTACGTGCACACGCACGCATGCACGCACGCACGTGTAAGTTGACACGCACGCACGCACGCACACACGCACGTGTACGTGCACACGCACGCACGCAGCACGCATGTGTACGTGCACTACATAAACAGCGCTTTCTATCAGAACATGTGGTCATTCATCTGTAAATGTCAAGCAGCAGGCTTCGCTTCTGCTAACCACAACACATAACAAATACACGTGACCTGATCTATGACGTCACGTGAAACATCGCTATTAGACCTGCGTGATGGCGTGTGCATATGTTTGCTAGTGAATTAGACCCGCTAAAATTCGAGCCTGTTCACTGGCAGAAATTGATCCGTGCGCCGGCCTTTCGATTTGGCGCACGGATCAATAGCTGCCAGCGCGTGATACTTTCGTAGGACGTTCCCGCGGTTGCGTGCGCCTTGCCGCGGAACTGCGTGCTAGATCCGCGCTTAGCGGGCAGGATCAACACCTCTCAGGCGACGCTTCTCTGGTATTCGGTCTCTCATCTGGTTTATGTTAGGTACTATCACAACTGGGTGTTTTACCTTCTGCTCTTTGAGTCTGTGCCATATATCTCTATCTATCTTGTAGACCCTTGCACCCAAGTCAATTTATTGGCTGATCACCGATTGAGTAAGCGTACTTGAAATCGGACTCACAGTACTTCCTGTCTTTTATAGTGTTGGTTTTATGGGGGTCTCTGTTTACTCTTGGCGTCTCCTTTATTTTTGTTGCTTCGATTTTGGTGTGATAGACTGTATCTAAATGTCCCGGCCAATGGCTCTTCATTAGCCTGGTAGCATTTGATCTGATCAGAAAGCCTTTTTTGATCGCACCAATAACAACGACCTCTCTTTTTCCCAGTTATTTTCCGCTGCTTTTCTTTGCAAGTTCACTTGGGCACTGGCAGCATTTGGTTTTGCGCCTACTGGCGACAGGCCTAATTTTAGTTTGACCTATTCGCATTGCTTGGAAATTTCTATTGCCTTATTAAGTGTCATGCTAATGTTGGTGTGCGATTGGGGTGGCCCCCCTTCCACACCCTCCCCCCGCTCGGTTGCTCCACTCCCTCGAATAATTTTTCTCTCAACTCTAATTCAATTTTGGCAGCCCTGTCATTCACAAACAGCAAATTTTAAGTGAGAGCCAATATACTATTATATATAGTTAGCTGTAACGGAATTTGGCACCCAGCCCATAATAAAAATATTGTTTGTTTGCCCTCACCCGACCGACCTGCCAAAAAGGGGCCGACTCAAAAAAATTTATTGATCCTTAATTCCCATTCTTTTATATATATTTTTTTACAAATATAAATGTGTAGGCAATACATTATATGTACCAAGCAAAACAAACATTCAACATAAAAGGTATCTCCACACAAGCACACCCGAGCATGTAGACACCATGCTGAATTTGTAAAAAGACCCGGCCCCCTTAAAAAAGAAGCCTACCTACCTACCCAAACTTTTCAGCCTGAGTCGGGTGAGGGCAAACAAACATTTGTTTAATTGCGGCTTCATTGAAACGAACTTTGTACCTTTATCAGCGGCAGCAATACGCGAGTATGCAACAATGTTGTTTTAATACAGTTCGCAGCTTTCGCTGGCTATAAAATGCAAAGTAATGTGCACGTTTGGTCATTTTAACTTGAGGAATCAATTCTGTTTTATATACTGACACCGTTTATCTCAACAATTTGGGCTTTATGCATAACTTGGAGGCACTAGGGCTTGATGCTGTTTTGAACACAGAAAAATGCAGATCTTTTGTGGTTTTACTGTTAATGGCTAAGCAAGCATTTCATTCGTTTCTGAACAGCACAATTTTTAATGAAAACGTGAAACAAATGAAGGTGCACATATCAGACTAGGAAATCCATGTCCTTGTTAGAATTTTATACATGAACAGGAGTGATGAGTCAAACTCTGGTAATACTACAGATACGCACACCTTTGTTGCTGTTAGCGAAATGTTTTACAAAATTATATTACAAATAAGTAAAGTAATAAATAAGGAAATAAGTAACGAGGGATTACTGCACTACACACTGGACATATGTTCAGTAATGTCTACTCCTTGTAGCAATCGTGCAGTGTTACCAGTAGAAACTGCTGCGTAATGCTATCATTAATTGTGGAGTTGTGCAACCACAGAAAAGTTAGTTAATGGCGCCTGGATCATGGGCGGTTTGGCCTTTGAAAGCAGTCGTATTGCAGAAGTATTATTGGTATTTGGCAGCACTTGTAACAGCAGTGGCCACAGTAAATTATGCATGAGCAATTATGAAACGGGGCTGATGGGAACGGGCCAAGATCCATGTGGTGTTATACCCGGCCGGTCAACTTTGGGCAAGTGATCAATAAGCCTACGTAACTATCCAACCGATCAATGTTGTGAAATCGAACAATAACACTGAGCTGGGCTATAGGGCTTGCGAGTGGGTGAGAGCACTTGATCACCGAATAAGCCGCCACCCGATATGTAAGGGGGACACGAACAGGAGGCGGGGAAGGTGCACACATGTACTGTTGTGCTTATGTATTGTGTAACATATATTATATATATATATCCATCTATATTATACACTGCATCTTCGTTCATCACTACATGTGTCAACAACAACAACAACAAAACTTTTCTACATCATTACAGTTGATTGTTCTTCACAGTTTATAGTGACTATCCGGATGGAAGGCACGACCGTGTACCAACAAGTGTTGTCACCGAAAACAAATACCAAGTCACAACTGCGAGCATGGAAGTGGGGATTTGACGGCGCGAATGCATTCTACCATGCACTTTACCCGCGCTCCTGGATGGTGTACAACATTGCTGAGCACAGTGTGCGACTTATCTGCCGACAGGTTTCGCCTGTCATTCCACACGACTATCAGGTAAGTGAAGAAATGCATTCATTATGCTCGTCAGCGCTATGAAATCAATGGAATCACACAAATTATAACAGTGTACTGAATTAGGGAGCAGTGAGACCATGTGTTCTACTTCTTTTTCTCCTTTTCATGTAGATTTCATTGAAATTGTATTTTGTGTGCTTAACTGTAGATTTTGTTTACTTGCACATTTTATTTTATTTCTGTTCTCTTTAAAAATGTGGAATGCCTTTCCAATGTTTATTGTCTGCTACAGATATAATAGGTACATGGTCTTGGACTTGTTTCATTCAATGGCTCCATTATATCAGAAGTAGATAATAGGGAAGGAGTGTGACTTCAATAAACATGGGAAATTCGTCATTTACTAGCCTTAGAATACCTACGATTTACTACGCGTAACTCAACCAACTTGAGCTCAAATCGTACACAGTACATTCGCCTAGCATCGTGCGAAATTGTTTCCTTGTATACACCCGCAATCCGGAGATAGAGACTAAAACGTACGATACGATTCTCCTTTCTGTTGGCAGCAAACCGAATCCATAACCTGCCTAATAACTTGAAACAATAGGCAGCTACTAACGACTCTTGCGCACGCTTGTGCCCTCGGCGATGTGGTGTGGCTCGCTGGGAGATTGGAGCTGGAGCTGCTGCTGATTGCGGTGTGCGTGCGTGGGGGGCATATACCAGCTCTAAATAGGTCAAAGATTAGCTCGCCGAGTGTTGCATCGATGTCCAATCTCCCAGCAAGCCACACCGCATCGCCGAGTGCGCAAGAGTTGTTAGTAGCTGCCAGCAGCCTATTGTTTCAAGTTAGGCGGGTTATAGATTTGGTTTGCTGGCAACAGAATGAAGAATCGTGTCGTACAATTTAGTATGTATCTCCTGATTGCGGGTGTATACGAGGAAACGATTTCGCACGATGCTAGGCGAATGTACTGTGTACGATTTGAGCTCAAGTTGGTTGAGTTACGCCTAGTAAATCGTAGGTATTCTAAGGCTAGTAAATGACGAATTTCCCTTGTTTATTGATGTCACACTCCTTCCCTATTATCTACTTCTGATTATATATAACATTCAGAAACGGTTGTCAGAAGAGTGCTCTTTCCTTCATGAACAGTTAAGCCAGTTGAAACTGACTAGTATGGTCAGAGTCAATGCTTTGCTTGCATATAACTTTCAGTGATTCTGTGTATTGTATTTCTTTCAGGACTCGAGCATTCCATGTGCGGTGTTTGTGTGGGAGGTTGAAAATTCATCTGCTGATGAACTAGACATCAGTATTGCTTTTACTTTTAAAAATGGAATGGGTTGTTCGCTAGACAGGTATGAAGTATTATATTTTGGAAGCTATGATTATAAGGATGAGTACTTAAAAAGGAGGCACTTGACACTATGAACTGGACTAAATGGATAAAACACGGACTAAACTAATGACTCAGTTGTGTAAAACGCACTGAGAGCCATAGACTATTACGGAGCTATAATTACATTCCGTTGCAAAATACACGACTGCCACGGACTAAGCCGGACAACTAACTAAGCTAATGAACTACCTGTTAACATTTATCTAATCACGAAAGTCCGTGATTATTATGAATTATTATGTGAGGTTATACCGTGGCATCAAACAATAGTAAATAGCTAGAGTATCAGCACCTGTTAACATCGGCTGCTTTAAAAGTTCCGACTGCTGGTGTGCGGCACTGTCACTCTGGCGGGGAAATCTACGTACTATGAACATAATAATTACGGACTCTCGAGATTAGATAATTGTTAATATATATGCAGTCTGTTAGCAGTCCGTGCCTAGTTGGTGGCTCTCCGTGCGTTTTCCACCATTCACGTGTCTATCTCTTGTTTTATCCGTTGATTCCAGCTCATAGTGTCATCTGGCATGTCTGTCAGAAAGCATGTGACTATATTTTAATTTTCAAATAAAGAAATAAGCAACGATTTGTGTTTTTGGTTAAAAATATTCTGTTAGGTACTGTTTTATAATAATTCTAAAACAAACGTGAAATGCTAGCTGTTGCTGCCACCAGAAGAATATCGCATTGTTAATTTTTAGAGACTGGCTAACCAATAAGTACCTTTCATTGATGTGGCATGAAATTGTTTTCCAGAGCTGGCGGGTGCCAAACAGAGGCTTTCAGTGCATCGGAGGGTGCATGTTCAGTTAAAGGAGTGCAAATCCATCAGTCTTTCAAACAGATGTCATGCACATACGGTTTAGCCATCAGAGAAACGGTTAGTAAGTCCCTGCAGTACAACAACATGTACCCATTTTGCTCGGTTGTTGACCTAATAGTGTTCATGGTTGCAGAGAAACAGTAACCCTCTTCTGTTGTGTCTTTGGATTTGGAAGTTGTTTAGGTCTTTCATATAATAATGCCTGTGGGATTTACAAGTTATTTGAGAGTGTATTGGAAGTAGAGAAGGGTGCTTAAAATGGATAAACTTCGCAACAAAAAGCCTATATATAGACCTACTGTGAGCATATACTTGCAGCGTGCAAACATGAAATGTTCTCATTGAGCCAAAGAAGTGCTACAAACATTGGGATTTCCAAGATCGCGTCTGACGCGGTAATGTTACACAGCTAGCAGTAGCCCTACGCTAGCGCAAATAGTTCCTGGAACGAAAACACTGTTTGTTTCCTGATTGCATAAGTAATATAGATAACGATATGATATAAACAAATTTCACAATTTTGTACTGAATAAACATCGAATAATGAATTATAACTTGTTTTATCATAGAAAGGTTCAACTGTTAATGAATCGAGCCGATCACGCCGCTGTGCCGCGATGGCTAAGCATCACTGTGGTGCTACGTCTGAAGAGAAGTAGATTTTGAGAAGAAATCTTATGAAAGTAGCAATAGAAATGAGTTGTAGTGAATTTTTGCAACATATGCAAGCTCACAGTAGGTATATATATGCATTTAGCTGTGAGGTTTTGCATCTTTAATGTGCATTTCGGTTCCTTTATAGTAATCACAGTAGGTATATGAGGCATGTGTTTGGTCTATATGTTACTGTAGGCTGGTGTGCAAATCTCTCACAAATTGCACTGGAACCCTAAAGGATCGGGGACTGATATCTGGGATGATCTTCTCCAGTCTGGATCGTTCTCAGTTTCCCCAACTACAGGTTGTGTGTACGTGCTCAGGGTTCTCCAAGCTTTTTCGTTATAGCATGGCGGGTGCTGCCTTTACGGTCCTAGTTGCAAATCGCCGAAGGCGGTTTGCATGCTAGCGGGGTCCGGGGGCTATGATATTTAGCATGGCGGCTATGATATTTAGAGTGGCGGGTGCATTTTAGGATGGCGGGGCTCGACGATAGCCTGGCGGGCCGCCAGGCTATAAGTGCTCTTGGAGAACCCTGGTGCTGTAACAGCGACCACTGTATGTGTTAATTTTCTTTTCCATGTGACGTCAGAGTGCAGTGGTTGGAAATTCTGTCTAATAAATCGCAGTATGGCTAATAAATAAACAGGCAATGCAATGTGTAGTGTAATTCATCTATGGCTGCACTGCTTAAGATGTAGTGTTACATAATTTTGTCTGGTTGCTGTGTAAGTATATATGTATTCTGTATGCAGAGAAGAGTGAGGTGACACGTAAAGGTCAGGAGATAGCCTGTGCTGTCTGTGCTAAGATGAAAGCAAAACCTCACTGTCCAGTAACAGCAGAGATGTGTCTTGTCTGGGATATGCCACGGATACGCTTTGGTGCCGGAGAGCAGCAGTATTACAGGTATGTGTTAACCATATGTGTATATGTGCAATTCGTCTGCAGGTTGACATTGTACGTTAATAACTATATGTGCGTAGAAGTGCTCAGAATAAGGTGTGAAAACTGGTGTTTGCATAGCCACTGTCAGGCCTGATGCTCATTGATATTTTTGCAGTATTTTCAACATTGATAGGTAGTGAACAGTGCTGTGTACTACATTTATTAAAAAAATAGATGATAAAAATCGTCAAAATGTGGCTGTTTAAGATAAACCTGGTTTAATGAATCAAAACAATGACATGATAATCATACATTGAAGCCTATCAGGGATATCTTGTCTTAGTGTCTTCCTGTGCCTTCTGCTGCAAAGTGTGAAGGTTGGCTTCTTTGTGAGACACAAAGTTGCATGTGATACAGCTGAGCATGATGGTCTCAGGCATGGCTCTCGATCAGATCAGTGACGTTATTGGGGTCAGGTTTCATGCCTTGATCGGTGTAGGTAGACGTTTCCGAAGAATTCAATGCTAGACTGCTTGGTGGAGCATTTCGGCGAATTGAAGACGAGACCGTTGGCTTCGGCGACTTCCACCAGGTTGCGCCGGTTTGAGTCATGCTCGGCGTCATTGTCTCCATATACGATGATATGGCGTGTGATATTCTACAGACTCCTGGGCAACGTTCGATGATTCGATCCATTTCAAGCTCGAATATGTCTTGGCTGACAGAGAGGCCAAAAGGAAGGCAGCAGAAACAATATTGACCAAAATGCGTTTGGAAGGTTGTGAGTTCCTGGCTTTCTTCATGCAGCTTGACGGCCCAATAACCAGATTTAGCGTCAAGTTTTGAGAAGACACGGGCAGTTGCGAGTTTGTGGTTTATGTCATCAATCGTTGGTGTGACATGGCGAGGCCTGATGAGAGCTTGGTTTAGGTGCCTTGGATCTAGGCAAATCCTGATGCTACCATCTTTCTTGGTGACATACGTGATGGAGCTGACCCATTCAGTTGGTTCCTCGATTCGGCGTATGACACCTTGTTCGACCATCTCATCCAGTTTGGCTTTAACCTTCTCCTTGAGAGCGATTGGCGTGCGTCTCGGTGGATCGACACGAGGCGGCGTGTTGGGATCAACAGCGAGTTTGTGTACGGTTTTAAACTCACCAATTCGATCAAAACGGTTGGGGTACAGGACTCGGTTCCACAGACGTGGATTAACTCTTAACTCTGAGTTAAATTCCTTAACTCTGAGTTAAAATATTTATCTCAGAGTTACCTGAGTTACTTAACTCAGGATATAATCCATGTTTATGAAACCCAAATTTAACTCGGAGTTAGATTTAACTCAGGGTTAAAAGTTAATCCACGTATGTGGAACCAGGTCCAGTTTCTTAAGGTCGTTGACAGATTTGATGACTGGCTTACTTGAAACTGGAGGAAGAGCAGAATTGCGGGGGTCATGTCAGCGGTCAAAAATAAATGTTTCGAAATTCAATGTTGTTTTATCACAATTGTGAATGCATGACTATAGAAATTTGTAGGTATATATTATTATTTATACTCTTACTATCATAATATACTAGGGTGTAATATTCCTTTAAAATATCTAGAGGGAGTTATGGTAACATGTAGTCTCTGCTGACATATTCAGGCGCTACACACGATGGTTTGGTAGGGAAGGGAAAGCAACTCCACGACTGTGCTCATATGCTCTGTCACATTACGAAGACTGGGAAAATAAAATAAGCACATGGCAAATGCCAGTGCTGGAAGATTCGTAAGTATAAACTGAAATTTTTTGTCATTTGTTGTAACTTTAATCTTGTATGATAGCTGTTACCTGGACAGATTTGTGATCAGTTGTACACAGTTTCTGCCAACCGCCCACTGTTGGTAACATGTCTACCTTTACCCCACCTAATTACTTCTCAACCCACCTAAGAAAGGAACACAACCTCAGCCATGCCATTGTTAATCTATAATATTACATTAATCAATGCCAACATACCAGGTCCACCATGCCACTCTTTCATGTAGAACAGTAGTCTGTAGTATGCTGTGGTAGTGGTACACTAGTATGTGGATTTCTGTGTAGTTGTGCACATCACTTCATACAGATTCGGGTACTAAAAGGAGAGGAAATAATAGACGCTGAACGTTTAATAAAACGGAACATTGGTTTACTTTGTATCGCAACCTGTAGATTTATGTAAGAGATTAATACAGTCTCCACATGCTTAATTGCGCAGTCAGGCTGCTCAGCTTTGAGATTGTAGCAGTGCTGGGCGAAATGCAGCACATTGCATATTTTTTACAGAAAACTTCCGGATTGGTACAAGTCTGCACTGTTTAATGAACTTTACTTCATGGCGGATGGTGGGACAGTGTGGGTGGATGTGGACTGTGAAACTGTGACTGGTGTGAAACCTGTAAGCCCTGCCGTTGTCAATCCTCACAAACTCATCCAGGAATATGGAAAGTTTGCCTACCTTGAAGGTATTACTTCTATGTATTGTGGCTATGTTTCAGGGTTCTTGCAAGTGATGCAGTAGATTTGACAGATGGATTATATGTGATTAAACCATGCAGCTATGTGCATATTCTGTGACAAAGATACAAACACACGTACTGAAATCAATATATCTTAAAAATGGCTTTCCCCCAATGTTCTTAAGGATACTGTCCAGCTTTTGCATGGGTATCATTCTACAATTATTCACAGGTCATGAGTACAGGATGTACAATACGTATGACGTACACTTCTATGCATCGTTTGCCCTGGCTATGCTGTGGCCTAACCTAGAACTCAGTCTTCTCTATGACGTTGGTAAGTGGTTATAATTTCTCGTGTTCACTTCTCATGTGGGATTTTCGAGTATTACTTACCTGACAAATACTAGAGAGATGTGCATTATCAGGCTCACTTGACGTGTTTTTAGCTCATCTGACATAGTCAGATGCAGCTTGTAGAATCGCATGATTGTCCGTCCGTCTGTCCGTCCGTCCGTTCGTCAACAGTTGGGCACAAATCTTAACCGCTCGACGTACGATCACAATATTCGGCACATCGGTGGGGATCGCCAAAACGAGTTGGGATGTCGAAGCTGGGGGTCAAAGGTCAAAGGTCAAGAGGTGTAAAAGAAGGGGGAACATTCACTCCTTAACTTAAGGTATAGGGAGGAAATGCAGAATTGCGGCACAAATCTAAATGGCTCGACCTAGGCTCGTGATAGTCGGTGTATAGCATCATGGTAGGAAAAGCCATCACTGTGCTGAAATTGGAGGTCACAGGTCAGAGGTCAATGGGCACAGGGCAGATTTTAGACATTTTATAAGGACATGGTCTGACGGAGCGATTGAAAAACTTTTTTGTTTCAGCGGTGACCTAGCATTTTTATGGCTTTATTGAAAGGACCATGAAATGTACCGTCTGCTGACATGCGAAGAGTAAGTGTCGGATAACCTTTTGACCCTTAAGAGGAGGGTTAAACATGGATTTGTTTACTGTCTGTTAAAAAGAATTTGACTGCCGGGTTTGCTAGTAGAATCTATACATGCCTGGATGTATGAGGCTACAATGTCACAGTGAAATTTCAAAAGCTAAATTTGGTTGAAGAAGGTTTATGTTCCTTAAATCGTTTGCCTTGCGTGTAATTGGTTCAGGTGCCAGCTCTCTATGCAGCGGCTGTAGCCTTGCGTGGTAAATGGATGAGCGCTTACCTATTCTGTCTTGCAAGATAGTTGTTGGCTACACGTAGCGATGGGA